CATTTGATAGACGAAACGTTCAACGATTTAATGATAGCCCAACTTGGGCCGCAGATCTAAAGCATTTAACAGTTCATCTATGTCCGTGTGAAACAATTTGAAAAGCCAAAAGCGATAAATACAAATGTTGCCAAACAAATGTTGTTGTTGTTGTTGTTGTTGTAGTTGTTGCTGGCGTTAAGCTCTTAGTTTATCTCTTTATAAGAACATCGAGGCGTGCCGTGTTTGTAGCATGTTGCAGAGTTGTTGCTGTTGTTGTTGTTGTTGTTGTAATGCGATTACACAAAACATAAATAAAAACGCAGCTGTTTGAATTGCACAAAAAAAAAAACGAGAGAAAGAGTGAGAAATATGTGTGTGTATATATAGAGACCAAGCAACTTGGCTTCGAAGAAAAAAAAAAAAATAAAGAGAGACTGAAGACCGAGTCGAAAGGCAGCCAAGCATTTAATTAACATTTAAATGGCTGTGCTTGAGGAGCTGTTACTTTAAATTACGGCAGCCAAAAGATGAAAAAAAATAAAATAAAATTATGTATCTTAAACACCAAAACACACACGCATACACAGCTGCGTGAGTGTAAACAGGTTCGAGTTAAACAAAAATCTGTGAAGAGAGACAAAATTAATGCCCACGATAATTAAGCAATTGCAATATGTAGAGAGGCTGTAGTCAGCATGGGCAACAGCAGCATACTCTGCCACGCCCCCGTCTGCCTGGTACGTCTCCGGCCTCTGCTACACCAAATGATTAATGGAGAAATGCAAAAGTTTTATTAATAAAACGACTCTGGCCACGTTCCCGGAACAATTCTTAGACAGCCAACAGCAATGACTCGAGCCAGACCATTTGCCAGATCGTCATAGAAAAATACACGCAGTATATATATATGTTATATATATATATTATTTTCCTATATTTGTACAGTGCGCATAGGCATTGGTGAACAAAGCGCCAACACCAACTCCTACAGACCGCAGTCAAATATTTTTGATATTAAATTTTCATTGATTTTAGAGTTACTCTATTATTATTAACAATTTTTGATTTGTAAACAATTTTGTTTTTAGTATTTTTTGCTTAGCAATTCAATATTTATATTAGAACTGTTATTCAGTGAAAATAATAATTGAACACTTTTTAAAATATTCTATAATTCAAAAAAAGAAAAGGAAGGAAAAAAAGTAAAAATAAAAAAGTAAAAAAAAAAAAAATTAAATATCAAAATTTTGTTAAAAAAACATTAAAATATCAAATGATTAGTATATAACATTTCAATAAAAATATAACAAAATTAAAAAATGTTACAAAAATATTAACATATTTTTATGCACCTTTAAATTTATTAAGATCTTAGATAATCTAAAATATAATTTAGAGCTATACGTTGGCATAAATTTTTCAATTTTAATGCATTTTAAACATGTTGTATATTAATTATTTGATAAATTAACTAGTTGTAGTTAAGAGTTTATGCAAAAATATAAAGATATATATTTTAAAGAGTTATTTGTCGTAAGCAAGTGTGTATATGATAATAATATTTAGTCATGTGACGCTTATAGCGAGTGTTTACTGTTTGTCCAATGTTGTCATATGTGCTTATAGTATCTTCAGCATCTATAGCTGTATATATGTATAGGTCTATATATGTATCTCGTCTGCTTCTCGCATCTCTTGTGATTCATTGGCCATAGCTCATGTCTGGGTCAGTCAACACAGACACATGGCTAAGATGAACACCCACAGCTTTGTGGTGTGTGTGTGCGAGTGTTTCACTTTGACAAAAATAAAGTTGACATTTTCATGCTGAGAATGTAGCTGTTTTTTTTTTGTCTTCCTCTTCTTCTTCTTTCGCCGCCTTCAAACGCAGTGGCATGCAGCATTTAGCTATGTGATTTATGTGCTGGGAAAACAGATCAATAACATTTAATACACACGCTAATTTCCTCATCCCACACACACACACACACACACACGCTCAGAGCTTAAGATATTTATGGTCAAAATTCCAGTGAAGCAGGTAAACTTGATTTATCCAGCATTTGTTCCTTATGGCCAATGCCATCTATTAATTAGAAATATATCAAAATATTTTTGCCTTCTGACTCTTTTGTTTTAAGCCGCACAACCCCTTGCCCCTTTCCATGCCGGTGCCCGTGCCCGTTCCCACCGTGCACGGTGGGCCCGAATTGATTTATCTCTGCCTTGAACGATTTTGGCAAGTCCCAGACGCGTCGGTGGGCCCAGAGGCAAGACAAGGTCAAGGCGAGTTGTCAACGTAGCTTTGAACTTAGATTTCAATGGAAAAAGCATTTGCTAATGTCTTATATAGATATATACGAATATATATATTTTTTTGTGTATTTTATTTTTTGTGTCTGCAGTTTCGATTAAGCGAAACCTTTTTTGCATTTCGCGGAAGACTCTCAAAACTCAGCTGGCTGACTTCGGCCTGGCGTTTTGACCTGACTAAGAGATTTTATATACATATATTTTGATTTTATTTTGGGGCCAGCCTGACTGACAGTTGGACTGAGCGGCAGTCAAGCCCCTTTGGGCTTGGGTTTCACTTACTAAGCGGCTTAGGGCCGCACCTGATGAGCCAAGGCAAAGGAGCTGAGCTCCTTCGATTGCCGCTCTCTTTTCTGTAATTTGACTTTTTTCGGCATGTTTTTTTTTTTTTTGTAATTTTTAATTAGCTGCAGCAATTGTTCATCGTGTTGTGGCTGCTGTCATTGAGCATTTTCCATTATGCTGAAATTGTTTTTTAATATGCCCATTAAAAGGGGGCTGGGGTATGGGGTATATTGGTAGAGCATTTTTTTAGCTTGCTCAACATCTAACGTCTACGAAAGGTTTTTTAGATATGAAGAAGTTGCAGAAATCGATAAATATCGATAGGCAGCTATATAGCGACAGAGCTTATAAGAGTTAGAGACTGTAAAAATGACACTAGAGTCAATTTATATGGCAGTAAAGCAAAGTAAAATTTACATACTTTCCAGCTGTAAATTTTACCTGTAATGAATGTTCATTTACTGTTTGTTATCTATATAAAGACAGACTACTGTATTCATCTAGCTACCATACCATATCTACCTACCCTACAGGGTATCTGCTGTTACAGCACTCAAGTCAAATTGTCTTCCGAATTTCTATGTAATTGGAGCARCAACAACAACTTCATTTAAGAGACACAAGTGTAACAGATGTTAGGCCCACTTGAAGTTTAATGAGCTGAGTCGTAAATTCAATTTGATGCCTGCCTGAAGCAATGAATATTAATAAGCTCACTGAGCAAGCGCAATTGAAATTAAAATTGTTATTAGAACGGAGCAGTGGTGGTTGGGGGGAATATGAGTCTGAGAGGGGGCATGTTGACAAATGATGTGCCAACGGCGTGAAATATATTTCGATAAAAGTGTCGGAGGCGACAACAAAGCGTTGCCAAAAAGGAAAAACGAAACGAGGATCACTTCCGGCTACGCATCAATTAATTTCAGGTCACTTGCCGGTTCAGTTAACTGTTAACGCGTTCTTTTGTTGTAGCTAAGCAGCTACAACAAACACAAAAGCAACAACAACAACAATAACATGCATAATATTAATAATAATAATAATCGAAATCACTGGCTACGTCACGTTGTACAAATTGCCTTTGTCTCCCGCTCTCTGTGGGCTTATTCAAGTGTTTCCACTCGACCATGAGAAGAGCAGAAATATATTTATATATACATATATATATTAATGTGTACATACAGATATGAAACACTCACTTGCTGACAGCTTTTGAACTTTTGAATGCCCTTTGTGCGAGCCTATAGGGTATACCGTTTAGATGACTAACTGAACTCTGGCTTACAACAAAGAAAGAGTTTGCTTTAGTTAAAGATACTTTATTGTAGATGCTTTTTGACTGTATTCATTGCTCTGTATTGTGATAATATACCATGTGGGCTGTTTAAGGAATTTGGTTGTATTAACAGTGAAAGTGATTTTAACAGCACCTTCAATGTTAATACTTTAATGTTATATATGTTATTGTTGTATTAAGCTAACTTCTGTTAAATGTAGCTTTCATTATTATACGACCATTTTTATTACAATTTTACAATATTTTATAGAAGAAGAGAAGTAAAGAAGAAGATTACTATGTCTTCTCCAAATCAAATAACATTTTTTTGAATATTTTAGAACTTTGATAGTTTCTTTTGTTTTTTTTTTTTTTTTTTCAAACGTTACTTAACAGAATGATACCAGTTTTCAATAAATTTGAATTTTGTTTCCATATGATTATGCAGCAAATCAGTGAAGCTAAACATTATGCTACTACAGAAATCTAAATACTTTTACTTTGGATTTTGTTTTTCCAAACTTTACACAACAGAATGATAACAGTGTTCCATAAATTTGATTTTTTTTCTATGTTATTAACCAGCAGATCAGTGAAGCTAAACATAATGTTATTGATGTATTACCTACTACAGAAATCTAACTACTTTTCTCCACGAGGCAAAGCAACTGCTTCTTGCATAGCCACACGGCTAACGCTTTTGACTGTTGGCAGACAAATTACGACTCATATGCCTGCAGCATAGCAAGCTGTTGGGTCATATCCTGCTGTATTGGCAGACATAACTTAGCCAGACACTTGCCATAGTTGAGCAGACCTACGATTGTGCCTACTCGAATTCCTTTAAATTATAGAAACTTGAACAGCCTGACTCAGGTCGAGTGGACTCGACGCGGCTGTGTTGATGGACAGGCCGGTGTGCTGGGTAGACGAAGGAATTGTTAATGAGCAACGAGGATACTCGTTATAGAGACAGCAGCGCAGCGAACAGACGGACAGACAGACAGACGGACAGCGGCTTGTGATCCGTCTTGCTGCTTACATTAAGCGAGCGGCTAGGAATTTGAATGAGTTGACGGAGCGAAAGTGAATGGCTGGCTGCTCACTTAATAAAGCTGTACATCTCTTCCTCATTGCAGTTACACTTGGGCTCGTGACGATGATGTTGCTCCACGGCACAGTTGTGCTGCTGCTGGCCGCAGCGGCAACGGTGACGTTGGCAACAGGTAGCCAGAACCAGAGTCATAGCCGCCTGCACCACAACGGACATCGAGTGCATCGACAGCGTCATCTGCACAACGCTGTCAAGTCGGAGGTGGAGCTGCTGCCGGGCGTGTCAATGCCCCCAATGGCCGGTCGTGGCACGGAGAACACGCGTCTGCGTCGCCTGCACCACGCGCACCACCCATACAACAAGGTGTTAACGCGTCGCCTCCATCAGCGGCCCACCGAGTGGGATTACAATACATACAACATTTATACAAACACCTTTGGGCCGCCGCCACCGCCGGTGCCCGTCTCGCCGTACGCCGGCAAGGGCGAGGACAATACGGGCGATGTGGAGTTCATCGGCGTCACCGGGCGGGGGCGTGGCAATGAGTATGTGCCGCCAATTACGACAGCAGCGCCGCCGCCGAATCTCAATCGCCGCGCAGCCACGCCGGGCCTAAGCATGGGCACCGTGCCGCCGCTGGTGCCGGCGCGACGTGGCTACAGCTATACAACCACAGCGCCCAGCACCACCAGCAATGCCAGCAACACCAGCAGCGGCCCCACCACGGAGGAGCCCTACGAGACGAATACAATCAGCCGCAATTATCCCACAGATGCCAAGGAAATGGAGCGGTAAGTTGAGCAAGCAGCAAGAAATACCCTGTATTTTGTTGTTTAAAACTACTGTTTGTCCATATCGATAAATATCGATGGATATCCATTTAATATTAATGACATAGTATATCATTACTATCGGTCATGCTAATCCAAAAACTTTCTAGGGTATTTTGTTGTTGAATAAATAAATGTATTCTACTGTTTGTCAATATTGATAAATATAGATAGATATCGATTTAATATAAATGACGTAGTATATCATTACTATCGGTCATGCTCATCCAAAAACATTCTAGGTTATTTTGTTGTTGAATAAATAAAATTATTATACTGTTTATCAATATCGATAAATATAAATATATATAAATATCGATAAATATTGATAGATATCGATTTATTATAAATGACATAGTATATCATTACTATCGGTCAGGTTCATCCAAAAACTTTCTAGGGTATCTTTGCAAACTGGATGTTAGCTTCCATAAATCTGATTATAGAATTATCATCGCTATAACTTTACTAAATAGTTACACATTTATACTCCTCACCTTCCCAGCAGCCTACAGGGTATGCGTGTAGTCACAACACTAGCCGTTTTGCTCTTCCGCTGGGCGTATGCAATTGCATTTAGTCGTGGTCCGGCCCAGTCCAATATTCAAGGCTGCTCATGCGATAAATTTTCACCTTTACCTTTAGCTTCAGCTGATGTTGTTGCTGTTGTTGTTGCTGCTGGCCTGGCTGGCTGCCCCCAAGCAGCGGGCTTATCTGAATGCTCATAAATTATTTAAATGTGAAATGTTTCAATGTCGCAAGACGCAGCCCAACGAGCAACAACTGTCGCTGCTGCCGCCGCGTCGATGGCTGCTCCTCTCTATGGTCGCTTCAAATGTCAGCCTTATTAGCTTCAAGGCTAAGTGGCTGGCGAGTTGTTTCGATTGTTATGTCAATTGCAACAAATCAATGCGCACTTGTTGAGGTTGTTGTTGCAGCCATACTCCTTTAATGCAACATGCCAGAGAGCCAAAGTAGTGAGACGGCTAAGATTGCGTCTGGCATTGACTTGAGCTGAGTAAGTGCCTCAAGAGTTCTGCGTCATTGTCTCTCCTTACGGAGAGGTAATGAACTTTAACGAGTTTTCAATTGGCAATGCTGATACTTTGTAATTGGAATTAATGTGCGTCTACTTAAGGGCAGTTGCATGCCAAGCCGCAGTCACAAATGCCAAATGGCAATCAAGAATCGACAACGGCAATTGCCATTTGCCAATTGGCATACGTTGCGTATGCGCAATCTGCAGCAGGAGCAGCGCCGCGGCGCTGCAATTGAAGGTGTTGCTCTGCTTGCTGTTGTTGTAGTTGTTGTTGTTGTTGCTAGTTATGACACATTTTGATTTATGTGGCAGCTACAACAGCAACAACAACTGCCAAAAAGCGCCAGCAGGCATGTAAAACATTCGCATCATCAGTCATAAATTGCTGGCATACAGCACAGTGGCACAAATGCAGCTACTCTCGAACAAAATTTATATATAGAAACACACTTATGTACTGCTTGACGACGCTGAGAGCCTACCCAAAAAAATTTTGTATTTCATTTCATTTCTGAGAGGTTTCGTAAAGACCATATAATTATATAATAATTTTTTTTTTATATAATCTAAATTGAATTCAGATAGTCGTTATTTAAATTTAAATCAAAAAATATTGATTGGGGGGCCTGCTCATCACGCCGCCTCTCCCCCCTATCTTCAAAATCCTACCTACATTTTCTCTTCCAATTCTCTAATTCACATGAACCTAATTCGAACCGGGTCTCTCTGTGTTAGTAAGTCAGGTACCTTCTCACTAGGCCACACCCGGCTCCACATTTCGGTAGTCTAATATTCTATATGAAATATATGTGTATATATTTTTAAAAATTCTGATAAATTCAAATCTGAAAATATTGATTGGGGGGCTGCTCACCAAGCCGCCTCTCCCCCTAACTTCCAAAACCTATCCACTTTCTYTCTTCTAATTCCCTAATTCACATGAGCTCACTGTGTATTCGAACCGGGTCTCTCTGTGTTAGTAAGTCAGGTACCTTCTCACTAGGCCACACCCGGCTCCACATTTCGGCAGTCTAATATTCTATATGAAATATATGTGTATATATTTTTAAAAATTCTGATAAATTCAAATCTGAATATATTGATTGGGGGGGCTGCTCATCACGCCGCCTCT